TGATAAATTTACAACTAATAAATTTTCATCTATGTATGATGATTCTTATGTGACTGCAGATTTCTTATGGCACTACTATGTTACTATGATTTCTACAGAAGTTTTGTATTCTGGATAATCTTTTTTGATATGTTCAGTTGTATCATAGAAGTAATATAGCTTTGGAGCCTCTCTCCAATCTGTTGTTACCTTGTGATCCCAGACATGTATAAATCTTGGAATCCTATTTGCAAGGTCTGGATCTTCTGTTGTTTCAAAGATAACTACCCACTGGTTAGAAAAAACTGAGGTGCCTTTATAGACAAGTGGTTTAATAGAAGAAATAGTGCCTATGTCTTGAAAAGCCTCTTTAATATATTTTGATATAAAGTCCTTCTTGCTCATAAAGATGTTGCAGAGCCTAACTAATAAAAAGTTACATCTAATATTTATGGGAATGTAATCTTGAATATTTTGTTTAAAAATGGTAAGGCCTTCAGTTGCATAGTATTACAGCTTTTCTTTATCTGAAAAGACTACTTTTAGATGTGTTCTTCTGTTTTTAATAATAATTAGTTTAACTGCAATAAGGTCATCATCAATTTTGTTTTGCATTGCTTCAATGATATCTATAGTAGAAATATTTTCTAAACTGTGAATTTCAAAAATTAGTGCATTCTCATTTTTGGTGTGCAGTCTCTTTCTGGGAAAATAGGTTGAATAGGTTGCCTTTCCTCTTTTGAGTTTAGCAAATAGATCTGACTACTGTCTGGGTCTCACAAATGAGGAGCTTGGTTTTGATTGGCTATTGGAGATTTCTGTCTCCTAACTAGAAGCTTATTCTTCTTTCTGATTAGTAGCAGCCATGTGTTCTGTTTGGTGCTTAGCAACATGACTGTAATTAATCACCTGGTCTGTTTGTTTTGTTTAGTGCTCAGAAATATGACTAGCAGCAACCATGTGTTCTGTTTGTTTTGTTACCTCTTGATATGACTCTTCTGCAAAAGTAAACAAACTATTTTCTTATTAGACTAACTTTGCTTTACCTTTAGTTTTGTTCTTTACATTGTTATCGAATGTTTAGACAATGTTGAAATTTCTCTGATTTGAAGTGCTGTCTGTTTTTTTTTGTAATAATCTGAGAAACTTTGAAAGTTTCTGTGTTTTTCTTGTTATCTACTTTGCTATTGCCACCTTCAACTGACTCGATGCTTGAAGTTTTAGCTTTCTCGACTTTACTGTTTACACTACTTGCTGAAGTACTTGACATGATTGTACCAACTAGTTTTCACTTTCTAGATACAAGGGTTTTAGCTCTTGTTACACATTTTGAACCTAAGTTTTGAAAGTTTTTGATTATTTTGTAAATCGAACATTCTCCACTTATAGAAAAATAAAGAATAAAAAAGAGTTTTTTTGTTGAATAAATTTTTTTTTTTTTGCTTTCACTAAGGCCATTAGTTATTGACAGCTACTGCCTTTATTGTAAATTCAATTATAATTATATAACTTGTACAAGGTTACCTCTATACTACATTAGCAGATAGCACACTAGCTTCTGTATATCTAATTAGATGCTGTCTAACCTAATCTTAACCTCCTTGTCTGTATGTCTATTAAGCCATTACACATTTCAGAATACATAACCTAACTGTAGGGCTTCAGATAGCCTTCTGCTAACTAACTATTTATATTTATTCATTGCTAACAGAACTTATTCTTGTAAAGTTTATTCAGACCCTAGTACTGACTTCACAACATATCCTTAGTACTTAGCTATATCCTGCTTTAGACCTCAGACTCCCAATCCAGATAGCTCAAAGAGACTGTGTCCTGTTCCTGGATTCTTTTTCTCTGGTTCAAGATTTCTGATAGCCTGATTGATAATACCTCTTATCCAAGGTTTTTGCCTACCCAATGCCTTCTATATCAGTATTCATTTCCTAGGTCTAGTCTTTACAGTAGTACTATTGAAGACCTGTGCTACCTTTCTACTCGAGTCTTCCTAAGTAGGCTTCAGTTTTCCAGTTCACAGATTTACATGGCCACAAGAACTTATCTTGGATTTGCACTGCCCAATACTAGTTTGCATTTCTTTGTATAACTCCAATATTGTGCAGATGCCTCATAACCTGCCAGTTATGCTGATATTATCATGTTACAGGTATCTGATCCCAACTAATCAACAAAGTGCCATTGTTATAATACTGCTTACCTTCTATAATACTGATATAACATAGGTGGTTTTGCAAATTTTCACTATTAGTGGGTTTTGAACTTCCAATCTATCACTTGGGAGGTTAACAACTTATCCACTTCACTAAGTTATCACATCCCTGAATAATTTGGATAAATTAAAATATCTTGTTAGTAAAGTATAGCAAAAGCAATTTTCAAATAGACAAAATTTACTAAATATTGTTACTGAAATAAAAAATTTAATGAATATTTACAAGAAATTAGTATTTATAAATTATTTGAAATTATTATATAATATATATATATATTTTTCTTCACTTGAGCAGTCTTGCTAGTCATTTTTATTATATGTTTTGCATTACATATATATAAATTCTGGCCCAACATCACATAGGTGCTTCTATAAGTTTCTATGAGCGATCTACCTGTACTGACTGAACAAAAACAAAAAAAAACCTATGTAGAAAAAAACAGAGAGGTATAGAGGTAGATGATAAAAAATACAAATACAAGAAATAAAAAGAGAAAAAGTGAGAAATAAGAATATATATATATATATATGTGACTTTTACCACTCAACTATTAGATGATCACAATTATAAGCCTGTATTGGGCTTTTAAAAATTATAAACTATACTAAATAGAATTAACTCTACTATTTTTCTATTTACTTAGAATATATAACAAAAACCATATAGGATAAAACTTCAACTTGGATGTAGAGAATCAGTATAGGACACAGGTTAGTCTGAAAGCAGTATTTCATAGGGTTTCAGTAGTTCAAGGCATGTGTATGAGTTATGTTTGTGTTGCTGTATTGTTTCCAATCTATGTGATAACAATCCGGTTTAGAAAGTAAACACTAATGACTGTTTTGGTAATTTTATATGTTGATCTTTTGGAGGAGATAAACTAAATTGTCTACTTTTACAAAATTCTCTTTAAAGAAAAGTGAGGGTTAACAATTTTTATGTATGATTTTTCAAATAAGTTTTACAGTTGTATAGTAGTTGCTTCAAGTTTTCAATAGTTCTGGCTTGGGTTTTTTACAATTGTTCCTAGTATATCCTTCTAGTTTGGATGCTGAATGAAGAGAAAAATCTACCAAGAAGAAAATCTTGACCTCTTTCCAAACAACTACAAGAATGTCTGCTCCTTAGTGTTTTACATCTATTTTGGCTTCATCAACAACAACCTACTTCATATAGGACCAGGAGTATTTTCTTTCTTAACCTTGCTATAATGTTTTTCTGTAGTTTAGTTTTTTGTTGTTGTTAACCAGAGAATCATCAGAAAGAGTTGTTGAATACAATTATATAATATATTTATTTATTTACTAATTTATTAATTTATAAGTATTGTTGACATTAAGAGTTTTATACATTTTTGATCATAACTTTTGATGTACCAAACCAATTTGGATGAAACAATCACCATTGGATTCAGCTTACCAAAACAATTCTAATGAGTATAAGATCATGTGATTCTGATTATGGGATCATGATATTGGGATGATTTTAATGAAAAGTATTAATTATAATACATGTGATTTGATTCTGATTGGCTCAAATTACTGTGCTAGCAATCTATCATTTCTATTATTTCTATCATTTCTAGTAGATCTATCATTTCTATTAGATTTATCATTTCTACCAGATCTATTAGTTTTATCATATCTATCATTTCTACTATATCTATTATATCTATTATATATATTATATCTATTAGTTCTTATATATCTTAACATTACTATAAATAGCATTTATTAGTAATAGAATAGTCTTTATTGTAATAATTTATACATATAAAATATCTATAAAAGCACTACTTTCTGACTCTTCAAGAAAGTTAAATGTTTCCATACACTTCAATAGAAAATGCTCCTACACTTCATATAAGTGTCTCTATACACTTCAATAGAAAGTGTCTCTATACACTTCAATAGGAAGTGTCTCCATATACTTCAATAAAAAGTGTCTCTATACACTTCAAAAGGAAGTGTCTTCATAGATTTTATAGTGAATAAACTGAATGCAATATTTAGTATCTTCATATATGATCTATTGTTGCCTCTGCCTTAAAATCCCAAATCACTCTGTATTTTGTTAAGTCTTGTATAGACTTTGGTATAAAATCTGTCAAGTTATAGTTGTCATACTATAGTTGAGCAGCTTCTGTTATCATTATGGTTAAAGGAAAAACTACAGATTAACAGTATATTTGATAGAAAATTTATAATTATTTGTATAAATAAAAAGTAAGCTATTGCTTAGAAAAATACAAATAATTTTCAAATAAATATAGTATTTAAACATATACATGGTGATATTAATAAATTTAAAATTAATAATTATAATAAAAAGTATAATTGAAGTAAAAATTTATTTTAAATTATAATTTTTTATATAGGAAATTCTATTTTAACCTAGTTCAAAATAACTTCTCTAAAAATTTAAAATTAGTGCAAGCTGTTAATTCAGATGAGATCACTATTAGCATAATTTTGGCTTGCACTAATTCTAAAGTTATTTTTACTCAGATCAAAATAGAATTTCTCTCTCTTTTTTTTTTTTTTTTAATATAAAAAAAAAAAACCAATACAAAAAATAACAAAATTTCACAAAAACTAAATAAAAACTTTTTTTAAAACTCCTTTGATAGTGCTAAAGCCCTTATACCTAAGAAAAGAATGTTATTTCTATCAAACATGAGCAGCTTGATACTTAAGAAACCAAAACTTCTTGATATTAGAGCTAAAAAAAGAACTTTGACTTGTCATTAGAACAAGAAAAAACTCTTATTGTAGAGTAAAAACAGCAAACATGTTATATTTACCAAATAGTAATCCAAATAAAAGCAATAACCAATGTGATGAAAGTTGGACCAGTAACATAGAACAAAAAGAAAAATCAGTTGGTAAAGACAAACAAAAAGCTACTTCTTTTATAAGTGAAAACAACAAGATAAAAAACAGCAAGACACATGCAGTAGCAAATACAGAAAACAACAAACAAACAAATACAGAATATATGCACATTACACATAACAAAATTGATATACAAAACAACATCATTAATAGCACAATATCAGATGATATGAATGACAAACCAGCTAACAACAAACCCAAGCAATGGTTAGATTTATTCTCAAAGCTAAAAGGAGGCAAGGCAACCTTCTCTAATATAGCATTCAGAAACAAGATCTATTCCAAAAATGAAAATGCTTTTGTTTTTGATATTTTTAAGCTTACCAACATACATCATCTCAACTCTTTACATCAAACTAGAAGAAGATATGCTAGCAGCAAAAACTCATATTATTAGAGGCAGATAGGCTCTTTTTGAAATAGCCTTCTTAGATAAAGACAAACAACAACTGTATGCTTCAGAAGAGATTACAATGTTTAAACAAACATTCTTTGAATATGTTTCAGTTAATCTTAAGCGTACATTCCATTCAATTAAATTGAAGAACACACCAATAGGTAATAAAAAAGCCATTAATGAACAGATTAAAGAAGCTTTTCAGGATAATAGCATTATTTTCTTTATAAAACCACTTCTATATGAATGAACTTCAATATGCTCTGACCAATGGATTGTAACTTTTGAAATATTAAATAATCCAAACCTGATAGCAAGACTACCTAAACACACACATGTCAGTGACCACAAAGTACTACAGACTGGAAGGAGGCTTCAAAAATATGTTATTATTGTGAAAAAACAAAACATATTAAAAATAATTATACAGAACTTAGAGCTTTAATGGAACTAAGACAGTTACAAAAAGAATGAAAGAAATTCTTAATAGAAACAAACAAACTTAACCAAAAAATGCAAACAGAAAATATATTTTATAGTTCAGAAAACCCATACATCTTAGATATGATTACAGAACAAGATGGACCAAACACTAATATACCAATTTTAATCCTAATTACCTAAAAGAAAATAACTAGATCAATACTATAGATGATTAGAACTTAACTTTTAAGGAAAACACAACTAGTATTCCTATTCCAAAACATAATTCACCTTTAATAGAAGCTAATCACAAGGACACAAATAATGAAACATCTGCTGCAAACTATGATCAAGATATAACAATAGAACTATTAGACTGCAACAAAGAGAACAAAACTAAAAAGAAAGAATTTATTTTGTCATTTCAAAAAAAAACAACCTATGACCAAGATATAACAATGAAACCATTAGACTGCAACAAAGAGAACAAAACTGAAGAAAAAGAATTTATTTTGGTCATTTCAAAAAAGAACAACCAAAAAGAAAACAAGAAGAAAACCCTTACAACAAGTAAGAAAAGTAATAAGAGTAGGACAGAAAATGTCTGAACAGGCTTCTCTTCCTATTAGTTAATCATTTTCACTCAGAACAAACTGCTATGTGGCCAACATACCTCTTTTTTTATCTTATAATTAAAAATTGCCACATTGAATGTCAAGGGCCTTAACAATAGAGTTAAGGCCCAAAAAAGCCCTAACACTTTTAAAGTCTTATAAGTTAGATATAATATTTATACAACAAAAAAATTTCTAGTACAACAATGGAATTATGACTCAAACATGATTCACCTTTAATAGAAGCTAATCACAAGGACACAAATAATGAAACATCTGCTGCAAACTATGATCAAGATATAACAATAGAACTATTAGACTGCAACAAAGAAAACAAAACTAAAAAGAAAGAATTTATTTTGTTATTTCAAAAAAGAACAACCTATGACCAAGATATAACAATGGAACCATTAGACTGCAACAAAGAGAACAAAACTGAAGAGAAAGAATTTATTTTAGTCACTTCAAAAAAGAACAGCCAAAAAGAAAACAAGAAGAAAACCCTTACAACAAGTGAGAAAAGTAATAAGAGTAGGACAGAAAATGTCTGAACAGACTTCTCTTCCTATTAGTTAATCATTTTTACTCAGAACAAACTGCTATGTGGCTAACATACCTCTTTTTATCTTATGATTAAAAATTGCCACACTGAATGTCAAGGGCCTTAACAATAAAGTTAAGGCCCAAAAAAGCCCTAACACTTTTAAAGTCTTATAAGTTAGATATAATATTTATACAACAAGAAAATTTCTAGTACAACAATGAAATTATAACTCAATTTGGTCTTCCAAAACAGCTATTCTAATTGGAAAACCAAATATTAAACTAAAGAACTCCAAAATCTCACACAATGACAAAGTAATATTAGTAAAAATAACCTTCAGAAATAGGCTTTATCTACTTACAAATGTTTATGCACCCTTTAGTTGGAATGATAGATATCAATTCTTTAACAACTAAACACTAATTAATAATAACAATGCTATTACTATTATAGCAGAGGATTTTAACACCAATCTGGATCCTCAGATTAACCACTTTAGTCAAGCACCTTCACAAAATGATTCTTCTAGAATACTGCTAAAAGAGCTCATAAAAGATTATATAGACACAGTAAATTTTTTAAAGAGCAACTCCTTCTTAACTTTTTATCAAAATACTTAAAACAATTAGTTAATGGCTACTTGATTAGACTACATATTTGTCAAAATTGAATCTGGTCATCTCAATTTTGAAACTACTACTAGACTGAGTAATTCAGACCATCTTCTAGTAGAAAGCACAATTTCAGCAAAAAATAATTCAATTATACACCATTTTGGAGATTCAAAAAAGAACATTGATATAACTTAGAACTGAAAGCAGAAATTATAAAAGAACTACAAGAGATAAAAGAAGTGCAAAACTGGAATCTTTACAAATACATATTACAATCAATTGTTAGAGCTTTTAAACCAAACACAGCATCAGAAAGAAAGATACAATCACTATACAAAAAACTATGCAAACTAAACAACCAAATTGTCAATAATTCTGATTTAGAAGATCTTCAACTCATTGCCAAAAATACAAAAATACTAATCCAAGAAGAAATTACATCTTTCTTTGAAAAATGACAGATTCAGTCAAATGCTAAATAAATAGAAAAAGGAGAAAGTCTACAAAATATTTCTACTTCTTCTACAAAGCAAAACATGCAACCTTCTGTACAGCAGAGATAAAAATATCTAATAATAGAGTTTTACAGAACTCCACCAATGTACTAGCTAACATTTAGAGACAAATACCAAACAATATACAAAACAAAGAAAGTTGACATAGAAGCTGTCAAAAAATTAACAAAAGACCTTCCTTTAGTTAACTAAGAACAAAACTATCAGCTAACAAAACATATTAGTAAAGAAGAAATTAGTATAGTAATTGACTCTTTGCCTAACAACAAAACTCCTGAATCAGATAGATTAACTTATGAATTCTACAAAAATGCAAAAAAAGAAATACTTCCATTTCTATTGATACTTTTCAACTATATTATAGACACAGGCTGCATGCAACACTCATAGAACAAAAGTATAATTACTTTTATTCCCAAAAAGTTAGATGACTTGAAAGATATTAACAACTAAAGACTCATCTCTTTAGTCAACAATGATGCTAAAATCTTTATGAAAATTTTAGCAAATCATCTTAACCCAATATGCAATCAACTAATCAGGCCAGAACAACAAGCATTTATTGCAGGCAGATCTATAACTGATACAGCTCTTGATATCTTAACAGTTATGAGAAACCAAGTAGACTAATTTAAACAATACTGGCTATTGCTTCTTGATCAACAAAAAGCTTTTGACAGAGTTAATTATTCCTACCTATTACTAGTTCTAAAAGAAATAAATTTTGATAATAAATTCAAACAAGTAATATATATATTATTTGTCTTACAGCAAGCTCATATCAAAGTTGCTGATAAAACCTTAGAGCATTTTAAAGTAGAATAAGGAGTCAAACAGAGTGACCCTCTCTCCTCTTTCTTATATGTTTTAGTCTTTAACTACTTTCTTCAAGCTCTTAACAAGAGCCTGTTCAGAATTCAAATTAAAGAAAAGTCTTTCAAAATAGCAGCCTATGCAGATGATCTAACACTAGGCTTTAGCACTGCTTCAGACTGGAACAACTTTATGATTCTAGCTCAGAAGTATGAAAAGGCATCTAATGCAAAATCAATAAAAAAAATCAGTACTAATACTTCTTACAAAAAATGCTTAAAGAATACAATTTCAAGAAATGGAAAACTTTCAAACTAAAAAACAAGATGGCACAATTACCATTCTAGTCTATAAAACTAATATTGAAGAAAAGCCAGCAAAAGATCTATGGCATAAGATAATAAACAAAATTAAGAAAAAGATTGATCATCTCTCTACAAGAAATCTTTTTTTTAAAGAAAAAATTCTAGTTACAAAAACCTTACTTATATCAAAGATCTGGTATCTAGCTTATCTACTACCTTTAAGCAGAAAACAACTTAATGAAATAGGCTCAATTATTACTAAATAGATTAAAAATAAATCTAAAATGCTTCTATGCCACTTAATATTTCAAACTGATAAAAAGCTAGGAAGCCTAAAAGCTCCTATTCTAAAAGATCTACTTGATGCAAGACTACTATCAATTTGGACAAGGCTACTAACTGAAAATAGCTTCTGATCAAATGTAAAAAGAGAACTAATCACTACTGACCTTCAAAACAAAAGAAAAATAACATCTAAAGCTGCTTTAAACCAAAATAACATTAGCTAAAAGGGTGGCCAGAAAGATGAAAACTCTATCTAATAGCTTGAAAAAGAGCAGAAAGACTAATTACAGAGAACAACATTTGGTTCTGAACTCCAGATAATATTAAATAAAATTGATAACAGCAAGAACTATTGAGTCAAAATCATAACTAAACTTCTCCAAAATGAAACATCTACTACAACACAAAATAATACACCAAGCCAAGAAACCTAGTTAGATAATACATATAAATGAATGAAACTTGAAAATATTCAAAACAATAAAAAGGACATTTTCTAAAAACTAATGCAAATAAAGCCCTACCTTTAGGCTATTGAACTACTCACTTTGTGCAAAACTCTGATGATAGCTGTCCAGGCTGCCTATACATTACCCAAACTATAGAACACTTTGCACTTAAATGCAAAACTAGTAAATGAATTTGGAAACAAAGCTATAAACTGCTTAAAAACAGTGAAATAGAAAAATCCTCCAATCTCAGTAAAAGAAATAATTAATGCAAATAACTTAAAAATGCCAAAAAATGCCAAGCAGTACTGTAGATCTATATGCATACAATTTACAAAATTTGGTATTGGTTTACTCAAGCAAAATGAAGCAATAACCTAATATCAAACAATATAATTAGCAATATAACAAATAATAGACTTAAAAAAGAAATTAAAGTACTCAACACTTGGCAATGAAGAGAATCCAAAAAGGAATTCACTTCAAAAAAAAATTTTAGACTTTATCAATTTAAATAATAACTATATGTAATTCATAATTATCTTCTAAAAAATGAATAAATAAATATGCTTAATTGTAGTTTTTTAAATAAAATAAAAAAAAAAGAATGCATAAAGGCATTCTGTAGAAGCAAGAGAAGAACAAAAAAAATACATAGCAAAACTGACAGAATTATTAGAAAGTGTCTCAGAAGTCCTAATATTATAAAGTTTGAAAAGCAAAAAGGTTAAATTTGTCTATATACCTTCAAATAAAAATGGAAACCAAAAAAAAACAGCAACAGTTATGTTTGCAATAGAAAAAGATATGAAAATAGCCTAATCAAAACTATTTATATATAACAACTTTTAACTACATTTGGTAAAAGAAGAAAAAAAAGAATTAAGATAAAAAGAAAGTCTTAAAGAAGGAAGAAGAAGAAGCTAAAAAAGATTTAGCCAAACTTCTAACATAAAAGAAAACAGCCAAAAAAGAAAAAAACAAGAAATTAAGTTAGTTATGAACAAAAGTAGAAAAGAGAAAAGTTGAAGATTAGAAGATTAGACAGCAACTAGTAGTAGCAACAGGCAAAATTAAGTTGTAGAAAATGAAGCAAGAAGCATAGACTTATTCAAAGAAAAAGAAAAACCTTATAGAAGGATAACAGCTAAAACTAAAACTTAAACATGAGAAGAATTTTCATATACAGATAATATTTTGAGTTGAATTCTGAAAAGACTTGAAAGATTGGAAAAGACACAAGAGACAGTTTGGGAGAGTCTGACCTACCACTACTAAGGGCATTCCAGTTGAATTTATAAGCATAGACCAGGAGATTAGAGAGTTTATGTATAGTGAAAAAAGAATTTTTGAAAAAAGAAATATAGATGCATCTTCTGGCTATAATGAGAAAACAAAGAAAAAAGAAAAAGAAGAAAATATAGAAACAAAACAAACATCTGAAAGAAAAATTGAAACAAGGAAAGAAAAAATTAAAAATAGTATGTCACAATATCAACAGACTTAAAACTAAAGGATAAAAAGTAAAAAATCTTCTAGAATGAACAGAAAAAGAAGAACTCATAATAGTAGAAATAATGAAAACAAACATTACAGAAAAAAGTGAAAATTTTTATTGCATAGTTATAACACAGTATAAAGGTTATTGGACTAGTGCAGTAATAGACAAAAAAAAAGATCAGGTATAGAAATACTAATAGATAAAAAGTAGAAAAAGTATATAAAAGCAGTTAAAAGAGTCAGTAAATACATGTTGAAGGTAAGATTATATTTTAAACAATTAGAATTAGTGGTACTAGAAGTATATATTCCATCAAACAACAAATCAATCAATAAGAAAATTCAACAAAAAATTGTAAAGATAGTAACAAACAAGAAAAGATATACAAAAGTAATTATACTTGGTGATTTTAATCATACAGTAAATAATGTATTAAACAAACAACATCTGCAAACTGCAAACTACAAAAAACTACTAATATTTAGCTAGCTCAAAAGTCAAAACTTTATAAACTTATACAGAAAC